GCCACACACACACACACAATAAATAAATGTAATAAATAAAATAAATATTAAAAAAAAAAATGGAACCACTGATTTGAATAATTTACCTTTTCTAAATGTATTTAGTCCAGGGTCTACAGGGTCTCACTACTCAGAATGGATTTGTAGTGATCCTCCTGTTTTCAGTTTCCCAAGCGCTGGGATTATAGGCACACGCCACCATTTCAATCGCCGTCTCAGCATGCCTCAGGGGCGGGGTCAGCACAGCACACGGGATCGAACCCCAGTCCCTGCGTCTGCGTAAGCAGGTGCTTTAATCCACTCAGCTATCTGACTGGCCCTTATAATTTACTTTAAAAGCATTTCCAACTGACAAGTTAGTTGTATTAACCTACCAAATGATCACTACAACCTACTCCAAAAGTTCCTGAGAAATTGTAACCAAAGCAACTTCTCTGGCAGCTTTGGCTTCCAAGCAATTGATTTCAAGTTCTTAGCCCAAAGAAAACAAACGAATAAAAGGATTTTAATATCCACCCACTTACATTTCATACTTCGGAAGTCTAAAGAATATCAACTAATTAATAACATAAAATCTACTCAAAGTTACCTGTGCATGTTTTTAAGACATTCAGGAATTTTAAGGATGCTAACTTTAGATGCTATCTACTGCTTTATACCGTGTCTATAAAAAGCAATCTACTTGTTATATTTTAAGCTCAGGAGTTATATAGTTTCACAGAGAACTTTAAATTCCCTCTCCACTCCCTGAAATCTAGGTGATAGCTACTGAGCCCCCACGAGAAAGAAATTTTGCTCCCAAAAGAGACAAAATCATTCTCCAGGAGCCAGGAACAGTACTAGACTTACAACATAATACATATAATACAACATGAACATGGGAACAGGATAAAACAATCATGAGTATTAAGCCCAGATTCAACTACATTTGTTTAATAATTATATTAATAATTTCTCACCTTGTAGAATTCTCTTCTGAGAAAAACAGATGTAATTTTGTTCCTAAAATATTTCAGGTAGAAAAGTTGGGATGTTAGTTTCAAAACAGTGTCTTAAAAATAAAGCTATTAACTGTTTACTTAATACATTCAAAATTGCTACTACCAAAGCTTAAAAAATTGTATTACTGAAAATACTTTTCTTTTTTTTATTTAGTACACGGTTTACAGGGTCTCACTACATAGATCGGACTCGTGATTGTCCTGTGTTCAGCTTCCCAAGCACTGGGATTACAGGTGAGCGCTACCATGCCCAGTCTCAATCACCATCTCAGCGCGCGAGGTGAAGAGGAACGCTGGGAATCAAACGCTGGCTGCTGCACTCTGCCTAAGCAGGAGTTAGTCTACTGAGCTATCTGGCCGGCCCTGGAAATACTTATTCTATGGAACAAACATCAATTCATTTTTGCTAGATATACAATGTAACACATTTTCATATGCTAAAACATCAATAACGTAAGTTAATTTTACTCTCTCCAAAATCATATTTTAAAGGCAGACTTCTTTTAAGATCATAAAATTCATCCATTTCAACATAAGTTTTTAATGTAGTCACAAAGTTTTATGACTAATTCCAGAACATTTTCATCATCCTAATATGAAACCCCATTATGAAAGGCATAATTCTAGTTTCAGGAAGAAGCATCTGAAACAAATTTTATTTTTAAAAATCTGTAAGAAACATTCGCTATAAAATATGCTCAAAATTATATTTTAAAAATATATAGAACAAAGGCTTAAAGAAAAAAACACGTACTAAAAATTTTTTTTGAGACAGCATCTCACTATGTAGTTCAGGCTAACTCTGAATTCACTATGTAACCCAGGCTGGCCTGAAACTCTGGGCAATACTCCTGCCTCAGCCTCCAGAGTGCTGGGGGTACAGGAGTCTGCTACGACACTTGGCCTCCAAGATTATAGAAGTAGCTGTAGTCAAATAATGATATAATGACATTTTCATATATTTTCTCTGTATTTGGGATTTACTATTGCCACCTTGAAGATTCTAAAAAGGTACAGCACAGACATACCTTTTCTACTGCTATACTCTATAATTTGTGCTACTAAATAAAAACAAATACAAATTAACATTTTTTAATGTCTACCATATTTTTATTAAATGTTTTCCAGAACAACAGACAAAAAAATATAGTTACAAGATTTGGTTACACTTACTGATCTGATCAAAAAGCCACAGCTGCATCTTACTTTATGACAAACGGATTGGCTCATCCACTTTGCATCTGGGCATCTACTTCTTAATGGCCATTTCTGAAATAAAGGCACAGTTATTAAGAATGGGACTCATATACGTAACCAAGGAATGACAATTTTTAAGGACAATTACCTAATTTGTGTCAGAGAGAACCATAAAAACAATTCTTGGGCAATCTTCTCATAAAAACAAAACAAAAAACATTACAAATGGGGCTGTGGGTGAAGTGAGAGGGCCAGGAAACTAGCTCTTGTCCCACAGGCCCAGAATGCCTTGGCCACCACCAATCCCTCGGCCACGGACACCCTGGCCACCAATGCCTCGGCCACTGATGCCTTCCATCAGTTGTCCCAATTCCTGAGTGCCATTTACACACTGAACAAGAAAAAAGGGAGTCAGGGTAAGGTGTAGATTGGGAACCCTAAAATCACACATTTGAATACCGTAAATTGTTTACTTACTCTACCCATTACCTAGGATGAAAACCTCACAGATTTTGTTGGTTTCATTCATGGACATTTTAAGGTAAAATAATGACTATCATACCATAAGTGCTCAGTAAATATTGACTGATTAAGATGATGGGCTAATTTTGGTTGATAAAACATTTAACCTTTGTGAATTTTAAAACAGCAAAGCCTCAAAATACCACTTTTTTCACAGAAATTGCTAGGACAACAAACTTTAGATGAAAGACACTGCCAAGTAATCAAGCAGTCAGTAAATGAAATGTCTTCCTTATTGGATTCAAAATAATGAAAGTGAAAGGAAGGACAGGATTACAAAATGAAGTAATGAATGTAGGAAATGATCAGTGGTTACTAAAACCACTGGGTAAAGAGAAATAATGGATGGCCCAGACTATCAAAATTTGAACCCAGAGGGACAGTGCAGTAGTGTGCATGTGCAAACCCAGCTGCTTGGGAGGCAGAACAATCTCAAACTTGAGGCCTGCCACTGAGAGCTTGTCTGAGGGCAGGATGTGCAGATGGGGTGCATAGAGAACATAGTTCAGGGCCAGAGTGCTTGCCTACCGTGGTAGACCCTGAGTTCAATCGCTGGCACTCTGAAACCAAACCAAACAAAATCTTGAATTCAGTGACTAACATTATCATTAAAAATGGATCAAGCAGACATTATACCCAGAAGTACTTCTCACTACCCATGGTATGTTCATTTTAGAGCTCCAGTTTTGAAAGACACATAATAGCAGCACTTTTACCATTTCAGTTCTTTATCATTATGTTCCATATCACCTTATTTTACATCTGAATTACTAATAGTTGCCTGTTCAATCCCCTAGACTCCTCCATGTTCATCTCAACAAATCAATCAACCTAATCTTTTTCAAAAGAAAGTAACACTAGGTGTGATGGTGCTCACCTGAATCCCAGTACTGTGGAAGGCTGAGCAGAGGTATAATAAATTCAAACCCTGCCTGGGCATTAACCACCTTAGTGAGACCCTGTCTCAAAATTTTAAAAAAGGGGCTGGTGAGATGGCTCAGTGGTCTAAAGCACCTACTTAGAACAAGCTTAGCAAAACACAGGGACCGTGGTTCAATCCCCCCAGCACCACATGCCAGCCAGCCCTGCCCCCTGGTGGGCTGAGCTGGCCACACACAAAAATAAATAGATAAATTAAATTAAATTAAAAAAAAATTTTTTTTTTAAATTTAAAGGGTGGTGTAGATAGCTTAGTCTGAAGGCTCTGGATTTAGTCCCCATAAGCAAACACTAAAACAAAACAAAAAGATCATGCCATTCCTGTGAACAAGCTCTCCAGGGGAGTCCATCTCCCTAGTCTAAAAGGCAAGACCTCTGCAATGGCCCACAGGGACCACAGTCTGACAGCCCCTCCCTACCTGTCAGACCTCCTCTCCTGCCGCTCTCCTTCGTGTTTGCTCCATTCCAGCTATCCTGGCTTACTTCCCCTCTCTAAAGATTATTCATATTATCATAGCCTTCAAACTTGGTTGTTTTTTTTTTTCCTCTGCCTGGAACACTAGATGTCTCTCCAGCTTATTCTTCATCTTCCTTTAGGATTTGGCTTTTAGGGTGGGGGGGGGAGTATTTAGCTTTTAAAAGTGATCGCATTAGATCTCCCCTAGTATGTTAAGCAAGGCCAAAGTGTCTGCCTTAGTTTTCTTTATCTGGCAGAGAATATAAGAGGATAAAGTAAGTTGTAAAAGTGAGAGGGTAGACATGGTAGCACATGCCTGTAATCCCAGCACTTGGGAGGCTGAGACTGGAGGATCGCTGAGTTCCAGACCACCTGAACTGCAGTGAAATCTTGTTATTAAAAAAATAAACAAAAACAAAAACAAAAAAACAGTTGAGGGGGTAAGCAAATACATCATCAACAATTTCCAGATCTTTCTATCTAAACATCTATAGAGCTCTACTGTCCCTTTAAAAAGATCCTAAGGCAGATGGTGTGGTTGTTTTGCTTTTTTTGTTTTGTTTTGTCTTTAAATCATTTTTACTAAAACTCTAGAAAAGAATGGTAAAGATAAGTAAACAAGTTCTATTAAAAACATCTACTGACATTAAGCAACATTCCCTTTCCTCCTAGTTCTTTATGGATTTCTATTTGTGAACGCATTATAAAGTTCTAAGTAATAGGAAAAATGCAGCGACACTGTGGCCACCAGAGAGAATCAAACGACTAATTTTTAACATGACTCAACTTGCTATAACATAGTAGAGATGTTTGAACTTAATTCTTTTTTTTTTTTTTTTTTAATAAGCAAACTCCCCTGGGTCTGAGGCATACTCTGCTCTTTAAGTATCCTGTGGCTGGCAAGCTTCAGGGTTTTCAGAGAGGTAGCCACAGGACAGAGAAAACAGCAAGTATGTTCCCAAAGACCAAAACAACTGTATTAACTCTGGCAGGCATTCTCTGGAATTGCCCAAATGCTAACCAATCCACATAGTTTTCATCTGAACAGTCTACTTTTCTTTAAAATTCACAAACCACTTATTATATGCTTCTCCCATAAACCAAGGTATAAAAATAAACCAAGAAAAAAATAAATAAATAAACCAAGAGCCACCAGGCATGGTGACACACATCTGTAATCTGAGTCGGCCTGTGCAAAGGATTACAGGTTCAAAACACACAACATTAAAAAACAAAAGTTCAATAAACACAATCAGCAGGAGTTCCAAGAATTGAATGATGAAATTTATATTCAAATCTACTTTTGAAGGGAAAGAAAGTAAAGGGAACACAAATATTTTATCACTTAAATATGTTTAAGTAGAGATACTCCCACTTAAAAAAGACATTAACAAATTCAACATATTAAAGTAATCTTAAGTGTGCCAGGAGTGTGATAATTTAATCGTATTTAAAAGAAAAAAAGACGAATGCACAAATTTGCTGCTGCTTAGATCACTGCAGCTTCTAGGACCCAGTTTCTTTTATTGATTTCAAAACGAAACAAAACAAAACAAAAAAATAATAAAAATAAAAAAAAGTTGTGCCTGAAAAAAAAAATAAAAAAAAAGTAATCTTTAATAAACAACTTCTATGTACCAAATATAGAATTAGCTCATTTAATTGTCATAACTCCCTTACATGAAAGATTATGAAAGCACACAGTCAATCAACTTGTCCCCAGGCCAGGAATATAGCTCAGCAGCACAAGTGTCTGCCTGGCAAGCGCAATATCCCAAATTTGATTCCCAGTACAAAAAAAAAAAAAAAAAAAAACCAATAAAAACCCCAACTTGCTTCCAACAGAGATGGACTCAGGATTCTAATTCTTCAGTCTGCCCCCTCCCAACTATACAATGTACAGTAACCTGGGCAACATTTATGGGTCACAAATTCCACATTTACACCATAGGAACAGCATGTACAAATCTAGGGTACTCATTTATGACATTTTTCCAAAGTTGCTTTAGATAGAAAGACAAAGGGAGAAAAGGTTCATGGTTATATATTAAGAGACTAATGCTTTGATGACTCCAAAGGACACATGGCACTTAAATTTAAGAAAACGGATTAAGAGTAAGCTAGCAACAGCACAGGATAAGAATTGGTTTAAAGGACTAATAATGTTACACTTCTTTATTATTATTATTATTATTATTTATTTATTTATTTATTTTGTGTGTGTGTGTGTGGCCAGCTCAGCCCACCAGGGGGCGGGGCTGGCTGGCATGTGGTGCTGGGGGATTGAACTGTGGTCCCTGTGCTTTGCTTAGCTTAGCTTGTTCTAAGTAGGTGCTTTAGACCACTGAGCCATCTCACCAGCCCGTTACACTTCTTTTAAGAAGCGCTGGTATTAATGGGTAAGGCAAAGAACACATGACACTTAAGAGTTGATGAAATTAAGAGTAAAACAGTCTCCTTTGTTTTCAGAGCTGAGTTTGTAGCTTGGTGGTAGAGCACTTTGCCTAGCATGTGTGAGATCTAGGATTCCATGTCTAGCTTGGCAAAAACAAACAGCAACAAAAGACTACAGTGAATAACTGGAATCATTCTTTTTTTGTTTTTTGTTTTGTTTTTTGGTGGAACTGGGGATTGAACTCAGACCCTTGCGCTTGGCAAGGAAGCGCTTATTCCACTGAGCCATCTCCCCAGCCCCTGGAATCATTCTTAATGACTGATTAGTACTCCATATACAAAGAGAAGTCAAGGAAGAAAAAATTTAAGAATGGGTACACAGCTTTTACCAAAATACTTGCTATGTTTTTTTTTAACATATCTATCCCTTTCTTTTTATAAAGACATACATATATGCTTAAACTGTACATAAAGTATTCTATTAATTTTTAAAACTCAATAAAATCATTAAGAGTTATGATTAAAATTTAGATGTTTAATTTTAGTATATGTGCTGCTGAAGCGAGCACTAATTTAGATGTTTAAAATGTTGATCAAAATACCACATATGAATATATAATTTAATTTATGCATTTAGTACAGGGTCTGTCTCAGTACACAGATCAGACTCCCAGTGCTCCTCCTGTTTTCAGCCTCCCAAGTGCTGAGATCATAGGTGCACGCCAGGTCCAGCCTCCACTGTCTTCTCAGTGCACCCC